ACACACACACAACACACTACACACACACACCACACACACACACAACTATATATATATATATATATATATATATATATATATATATATATATATATATATATATATATATATATATTATATATATATATATATATACACACACCACCACACACACACACACACACACACACACACACCACACCACACACACATATATATATTATATATTATATATATTATATATATATGCATATATAATATTTATGTTATATTGTTACATGTCCATTTGATGCACGTAGCAAAAAAAAAAAAAAAAAAAAACGAATATTTGTCATATCATATTTAAGTTTCATCATAAGTAATGGATCAATATAGCATACATATAGGTACATATTTGCATGTACCACTGCATGAGATATAGGCATGGGAAAGACTAAGATAAACGTTGATAGTGATAAACTCTTATATCATGTTAGAAGGATTTATATAGAGGGGCAGTTGAATATAGCCATGCCTATATGTTTCCCACTCCTACATGATTTTTTCTTTAAAAAATGGGTGGGGTAAATAAGAGAGGGGTTCTATTTTACTTTTCTTTATTGTCCATTCGTAATGAATGTGATTAACAAGAAAGAGAGAACGGAATAAATGTCATGATAACATTATACAAAACAATTAAGAAATGACAACATAAATATGAACAATCAAGATATAAATAGAATAAACAATACGTCTATATTGGTTGAAAACAACCTAGCTTGCTTGCCTGCAAACAAACGCTTCTAAGGAAATTGTACTCTGCTTCTCCCGATTAGACCAATATCAAAATGCTAATCCAGTATCAACTTCTTGGCGTCTCAGAAGGCTCGATTTCTGACCAGTCTGTCCTCCGGCGCCTCCCACTTCTTCGCCGCCTCCGCCAGAGCGTCTAGGATAGTCACCACGGGCTCCAGCGACCGGCTGTTGAAAGGAGTTTTGAAAATTAGAATAAAGCAATTCACTGTGAAAATCCGTCATATGATAAGATAAGCATGTCCGAATGGAAATGAAAAATATATTCAATGGCTAAATTAGCTTCGTCATTGTATTTCACATAAAAAGACTGACCTGCCGCGGAGGGACTGACTGAGCCCCGTCTTGCCTACGCTGTCCCAGGCGTTGGCCGCAGAGGACACCAGGCTCCTGCCGAAGGGGGTGGGGCCCTTGGTGAACAGGTCCAGGACCAGAAGGACGACCAACGCAGCCAGAGCCACGAAGCCCACCGTCTTGAAGTCCATCTTGCCGAGCCAGTTGCTGAGGTCGTTGTTGATGAAGTTCCTGAGGTCGAAGTTGCGAATACTCTCCTGCAGCTGGAACATGACGGGGGAGGGCGTTGGAGGCATTTTCTGCAAGGAGAATCGCAAGAGATGATACAAAATTAAGACAAAAGAGAAAGAGAGAAAAAAGAAATGACAAAACAAGGGACCAAACAGTCAGCAATCTCACAGTTCAACAGGACAAAACGCATGAAGTAGAAGCGAACCTTTCGTGCGCAGCGGAGAGGAAAGTAAAGTTTTGTCGAGGCTTGGGTGCGGCAGACTGATACCTTCCCGGCGTATGCGAGGCCTTAAATAGGAGTGGCCGAACGAAAGGAGTGCTGACTACTCGGAAAGGCGACCGGATATTGGGAAGTTCCGTTACTTTTAAATGTCCTCTCACGCACAAATGGACCCAAACATATACATTCTACTCTGTGTGTGACTATATATATGTATGTATATCTATCGGCACACACACACACACACACACACACACCAACACACACACAACACACCCACACACACCACCACACACACCACACGCATACATATATACTTATATATATATATATATATATATATTATATATATATATATGTATGTAGTATGTATGTATGTATGCACACACACACACACACACACACACACAACACACACACACACACATACCAAACACATACATATATATGTATATATATATTATATATTATATATATTATATAAAATATATATATGTGTTGTGTGTGTGTGGTGTGTGTGTGTGTGTGTGTGTGTGTGTCCCCCTATTCAGTTTATCTATCAGTCTATATATGTCTAATATACAGTATACATACTATCTCTATATCTATAGCTGTATCTATATCCTTCTATTCATCTATCTGTCTACAAACACACCATCACAAACACACAACCACACCACACAAATTATATATATATATATATATTATATATATATAATATATATATTATATATATTTATATATATGATACTAAGATAGATAGATAGATAGATAGATGATAGATAGATAGATAGATAGATAGATAATAGATATAGATATAGATATATAAATATACATGTTGTACATGCATATATACATATATATTTGTGTGTGGTGTACATATATAAGTATATATAAATATATATATCTATATATTATATTATATATATATATATAATATATGATATTATTCATATGTATACTTATATTGTGATATTTGATATG